GTGTAAAGAAAACTAAAACCCCTCACAACTGGACCAATACAGCCTCACAAGAAACGGAGAAAAGAACGAAGTTGTCAAGGATTTCATTTTACTTGGATCCACAACCAACGCCTATGGAAGCAACAGTTAGGAAATCAATGACATACTGCACTGCAAATCTGCTGCTGCAAAAAACAATCACTTAAACATCTCTTTGAAGACTGAGGGGAAGCTGACCCAAGTCCTGGCTTTTTCTGTAGCCACAGAGGCAAGCAAAAGCCAAACAATGAATAAGGAAGGCTGAGGGGGAACCGATGTATTTTAATTGTGGTGTTGGCAAAGAATATTAACTAAACCACAAACTGTCAAAAGAACAAACAAATACAATTTGGGAAAAGTACAGCCAGAATGCTCTTTAGAAGTAAGGACGGCATCGCTTCTCCGCCTTTTGGCTAAGATCAAGTGTAGTGCTGTTCTTATCAGTTTAATATCTGATACGTCCTCTATCCGAGGACAATATATTAAATGGATTTTTGGAGCAGGGAGATGGAATAGGAGCTTGCTCCGTCCACTCCACGCATCGACCTGGTATTGCAGTACTTCCAGGAACGGTGCACCAAAAAAAAAACAGTAAGGACGGCAAGGCAAGACTTCATCTCACATGCTACGCGTGTTCTCAAGAGGGGCCAGCCACCAGAACAGGGCATCACACTTGGAGGATCAGAAGACCTCCAAGGAGATGGACTGGCAGTGACTGCAACAATAATCATGCTAACAATAATCACAAGGAAGACTCAGGACTAGGCAGTGTTTCTGCATGTGGGATCACGACGAGCGGGGGACAACGCAACAGCACCCACCTCCACCCCCACCCCCACCACTCCCAGGCTGACATCTAGCCCGGAGAAAGTTTTCGAAGTGTTACCGAGGGCATCGTCATCATTGATGGTGTCACTTGCCAGTCGGAAGAGGGTGGGCCGCAGCTTTTCACACCTTTCATATACAACCTGGGAAGAGGTCGATATTTTACAATGCATACTCAGGACCCAAAGCCAGCCCTACAGTACCTCCCACCAAGCATGCAGCAAGTCTGGGGCCTCTAGGGACTTCCTCAACCTGCCCCAACCTATGACTCAGCTTTAGCCCTCGTGGGGTAGTGAATTCTGAGTTGAGCTCCTAACCACACGCTCAGGAGTCCAAACCCATCAGACCCTCTAGGGGGAAAAAGATGGGGCATTCGGTAATTCCTTTAAGAGGTATAGTTCAAAGCCCTCTAGGGACAACTGTGGGGGTCCTATAGGGACCCATGGGGTCACTCTATGAGTTGGAATAGACTCGACTGCAATGCATCTGAACTGAGTTAGTCAAATGTGTGCAGTTCAGTCTGTCCCTTACACTCACATGAGACGTTTAAAGGATTACCTGCAGGGCCTCCTGGTCTGGTGGGGCCTGGCCTGGCCTGCGGTACATGCTCAGCATTTCCTGTAGTACTTTCACATGGCTGCGGACTTCCTCCACTGCACTGACCCTCTTTGACACCTTCTCTGACTTCTCTTGCTCCTTTTAAAGAAAAGAGCATAGGGGGAGGTAGGGTAAGAGTGGAGCTGATATCAAGGGCTCAAATTAGAAAATAATGATGGCAACATATGTACAAATATGCTTGATACGACTGATGTATGGATTGTTATAAGAGCTGTAAGAGTCCCCAATAAAATGATCTTTACAAGTACTCCCTCAACACAAGAATACTTTCTTCTATTAAATTGGCATTCTATGATGCTCACCTTCCCGACACAACCGCTGAAGACAAAGCGGGTG